TTGTACGATATATGATGGTACAATCACTAAACAGTATCACTTTTGCATATTCGCTAAAGCTCGTCGTTACTGAAGCTTTTGAATTAATCGTATATATTGTTATCTATTAGCGATGCATCCAGGAAGGAACGAGACAGGAATCAATTTAGAACAAGTTGGGTAAGAGACGATCCGGAGGAATCCCATTGACGGTGTTAGCCGGGATGGAACAAAAAGCCACTTGATGGGACACGTAACAGGGTGAGATTACCAGTAAATATGCGGAACGGGAAGGGACGGAACCGTATGAAGTCTCCAGGCGGACCTTGGTGAGATAGTTTTCGTTATCCCACCAGTCACTGTTCTGTAAGACCTACGTAAGCAGGATTGCAAGATCCTGAGAAATTTATTGGGTTGATGCAAAAGTCTCCGCGGATTTTTTTCTTTTCAGTTTTTTAAAATTTTATTGAAACAAAAGACTATCAATCAACAATGTATGCACCATTATTATCTACGACATACATCCATCTCTTAGGCAAATCTACAATACCATCTTCATAGAATTTCTTAGAATGAGATTGAAAGAAAGTTTCGAGGTCAGATTGTACGTGGTCTTGATCATCGAAGTGCTTCTCACGCAGATGATTGAGAAGTGAGCGGGACAGATGATAATCAGAAGGTACTAAATCTGATGACTGTGGTGGATGAGGTAAGACCTGTCAGTCTAATTCGACTAGCTTTTGACCGAAAAACTTTCCAGTATAGGGTTTGGTGGTGTCATGAGGTAGCCGAACTTTGTGCAGTTCTAGATACTTAGCTTGCAGGGTGGCCTCCAAATTTAGGGGTTGTTTGCAGTAGAACTCGGCATCGACTGTGGTGTTATGAGGAAGAAGCTTGAAGTAGATTATGCCTTGAAAATCTCATCATTACCTTTTTGAGTGCAGGTCACTTTTTCGGCTCTGGTTCTGGCAAATCTCTGCGATTAAGTGATTGACACTTGTGTGTGTGGTTAAGGTAGAGGACCTACTTCTCATCAACAACGCCGATTTGCTAGAGGAATCTCTGTCGGTTGCGCTTTCACAGTAATGAGATGCAGATAGTTAGCCTGTGCTGGATGTTGTCCGAAGTCAGGTGGTGTGGAACTCATGCTTGTAGTTGACTGACTTTGCCTTTTGCTGCAAGTGACGATCGATGGTAGATTAGCTGTAGCCGAGCATGGTTGACAACCACAGGTGGTTAGTCGTGGATTGTCTTCTACCAGAGCTGTCAAATTATACTCTAGGGAGCATCCAGACTTGAGGTGATCTCAAGTTACACATCGCCTTTCTACAACCTTTTCAACGAAACATAACGTGTGCTTTTAACAACTCTGTCTTCGCTGAGAGCAGCACAGATACTGCGAGCAGCGGTGCTTACATCGTTTCGAGTTGGCACTCATACAAAATACAGTGTCGAACATAAGTAGAAATTTCGGACAGCTTTTAAGCTAAACTATTTCTAATTGAGGACATTTGTTAATGTCGATTTATAGCATTCATCAAGTATTATGACAAATACAAAAGACAGCTATGTATAAGATTTTCAAATGGTTTTAAAAGATTTTTTGAAAAATCGGCGGATACTTTTGCATCAACCCAATATATTATTTTTGTGATTCTTGTCTTTGGTTCGTTTTTCATTTTCGGCATCATCCATATTCCACTGTCTCACATGGAAGTATATCGAGATGAACACGTGAGAGAGTGCATTGAAGAGAAACTGTTAAGTCAGCAGATTGAAACAAAATAGTCATTGTACAAACAAAGTTAAGAGAGTTCTCAAGCTCAGATCCAGTTTTTTGACTAAAATATCATTTTTTCATATCTCATGTTCTCTGATACACATCAGAAGATGAAACTCTATTGCTCAGGAAGCCTCCTTTACTTTTACGAGTTTCTTCACATGTATTTTCAACTCTGTGCGTCAACTTGGTACTTGTAGGAAACTGTCTCTTTTTTCATCATATCATTCGTATCTCATATTTTCTCATCCACAAAGAAAAGAAAATGAAATGCCTATAACGTACTTACGAAGTTATTATGAGAAAAATTGCTCGTAACTCAAAAAAGTATATGCTTCTTTAAAGTTGCAATGATGTTCGGCACTGTGTTGTTCTTCTTTAACTTAACATTTGTCGCTCAAACTTCTTTTCTTATAGTAGTTCTTCTAAGAGCAAAAATAATTGAGTATAAGAAAGAATGTGATAGAAAATAAGAAGACCTCTAAGCTTACAAAGTTGTTCTAATGTTTCGATTTCTTTTCCCTTATGTTTGTAATCGACTGTTTCTTTGTATTTTTATATTTTTTTTTGTCTACGTCCTGTGTCGACTTTTGTTATTTTTGTCGAATCCTATAATTCTACTACTAATGAAAGGTAATATTTATCTTTCATTATGACCATAAAGTAAAAAGCAAAGAAGTAATCTAACTGATGTTCTATGTTTTGATTAGATGAAAAAAAATTGTCTGCAAGTAAAAATTCCTTTGAAATTTCTGCGCAAGGAGCATGAACATAAAATGCGATAACCAATCCGTGCACAAAGGAACCGTCATAGGACGTTACACACCAAGAAGTATATTTGGACGGCAATCATATTTTTTTTAATGATAACAAACGAGCACCATGAAATCATATAATGGGTAAATCAAGTTACAAGATAAATTGTGAAATTGATTAATAGATTGAATACATGATTCGTTTGCACGCAAGCAACAACTATCACTAACATTCAGAAATCTTGGTTAGTGTTAAACAATGTGATCTTATTTGTAAATTTACACACATTTGCGAGAGGTGCCTGTCTTATGGAGATGGATGTGGGTGTGGGTATGGGTATGGGTCAAGAGAACACTCACCCACACCCACACCCCTAAGCAAAGCAACACAAACCTTCAAAACGTGCTCAAGATTATGTATTCTAGGGATGAGATCTTTAGTTAAGGGTGACGTGTGGGTGTGGGTGTAGCTCGTTTCTTCACCAACACCCACACCCATATAACAAAAGGTGAAAATTTTAGAAGGCACAGTTCAGGTAATTCAATCTTTCTAAGGAGAACAGAAATAGTAAACAGTCAAGAGACAGTTTCTTTTTATTTTATATTTCAATCTTCTCAAAAGTGTTATAAATAAAAAGCTTTAGTATTGCATTATCGGATGATTCATCGGATGTGCATTAAAATAATGTATATATTTCTCACTAAAAAGGAGCATTTATTCGAAAAAAAATGAATTTCGTTTTTATCAACTTGATTCTGTTTACCAATCGCTATGTCAATATTAATGACTGTCCTTTCATATATATTATTGAAATGAAACACCAAGATTTGTGCGCATGCAAGCGGAAAAGAAAACTGCTCATTCGAATAAATTATTTACCATGCATCTTGCAAGATTAAGAAGTGTGAAATAATTGTCAGAACACTTTTTAATACATGTAAGACAGTTCAAACAGGATTCATACTTAATGCTATTTACATCTTGCATATTCATTGTGAAAAGAAAATATATCCTTGAAGGCAGTTTGAAATTAGGCAATATAAAAATATTGAATCAGTGAAAAACATATTTCTATGACATTTCCCGTATTTCTATTATCAATATTTAGATCAGAACAGATCTCATAGACAACATATCTTTTTATTTAAGATGTTTCGAATGAAATAGCATAATTAGGATATTTCAAAATTTCGACAATGATTAGTAATGTTGTTCTTCTAATATCAGACGTGTCTGAATATTTTATTGAAAATAAAACAAATGAATGATATTATAGAAGAAATCATAATGCTGATGATCGATACATAACTTTCTATATGAAGTGTACAATATTTGTTGGACTTATTTGTTTGGTCCATTTTATCTTCGACCAATAATAAACTTGTTTATATCATATGGTCCCATATGTATGTATGTATGTTCGTCAAATATGGATATTATATTGAGAATTTCTTTTCTTTCAACCTTCTCTTCGTCCAATGCTTATTTCAAATCCATATATCTAATACATTAATGTTTCTACATGAATATCATCATATTCAAATTTATTTTTCTGAGTTGACGAAATGTTTGTCAGCTAGGATTTACAATAAGAGTACAAGTAGAGAATGAGTAGGAGTTAACACTTGTTCGTATTAGCTGGACTTTATAAGTTTGAAAACATTATATCTATAATCTTCTAGTTTTTCACGTCGGATAACGAAAAAAAATCTAAAAATGTCGAAAACAAATTGTAAATTGTATTAGTGAATGTTTTAAATTTTGTATGCTACTGCTAATCAAAATGTAGACTATTATTCAAAACTTAAACAGATCTATCATCAATAATTGTTGCTCTTTCCATACGTCGACAATTAGGTCAATAGTCTCCAATAGCATAATATTGAGTTGATCTATTATCCCAGAATGCAATATCCTTTTCTTTTCAATGTCATCGAACTTTATACTCTGGTTTATTTGCCAAGCTGAATAAATAATCTAATAACATATTACTTTCAATATCACTTAAACTAAAAATTCTTGTTGTAAAAGTACTATTAACAAACAATAATTTACGTTTTCTTACTGACTGGATGAGTTCGAATGACAGGATGTATAACAGGTGGTAACTCCTGTTTTGCTTTATCTAATTTTTCTCTGGCATCAGAAACATATAAACATTTGTCAAATAAAAATTATTTGCATAAGAATGCTCAGCTGATAATGTGCTTAGAAAATTTTTCATTGGTAATGATAGAGCATATCATAGACTGAATACATGCTTGACCATATGGTATCACTACCAACACTTCGAATGTCACGCGCATCTAAAACACAAGCAAGTGCTGGTTTTTCCATGAATGTTATATCTGTATGCCATTGATCATTACTTGATTTTCAATCCGGACCATATTCTAGAAGCATGAGTTCAGGTATATTCTGGACATGCGAATAAAATGAATTTACGTATATGTAAATTACCAAACAAAAGAGCAAAATCACGGTGTTATTTTACAGTTAAATGTTGATTGCGAAAAAATATAAGTTGATGTTTGATTAATGCTTGCTCAATTTGTTGAATAATATTACTTTTATCCAATACATCTGATAAATCAATATTATGAATAATCGTACCAATAGCAGGTACCAATATTTTAATGTTCAAATCGTTTGTATCATATGTAATTTCTTTTCGTTCACATTGACTTGAATTCATTTTTAGTATTCTAAAATATGACTATCAACCAAATACGAAGAAAATAAAGTGGACACTAATAGAAACTGTTTTGGATTATTGAAAAAAAGAAAACAATAGACAAATAATATAGTGAATGCAGAGCAAAAAGTGGAATATCTTACAGATACTTTTAAGTTAAATATTTATAACTAATAACTAGTTGTTGAAGTGTGATCATTTATTTAAGATAATGTTTTTTTTTTATATTGTAGGAGTTCTAGAGTAACGATGTTCGAAAGAGTATGATATTATGTCCAAACTGGATATTTCAAATTTAGCTCATTGTTGAAGATCTATTTTAGACAAATCATTACTACATTTATATTGATAAAACAACAAAAAATGAAATAAAAACTAGCTGCATTATCTATCAGATGAAAGTTGCACCATCGAAAACAATGAAAATATAACAAATAAGAACAACAAAGACACTTTTTCTATTTCGATTATATATGTTTATAGATAAGCAAGAAAATATTAAGAACATGTAATAGCCTTTCAACAGGTAGAACAAAATACAAATAAAATTCAGATAAATTCTCATTTCACATATTTTTGCTTAAAAAATGGGTATTGTTATCAGTTTTCTTGGTTAAACGAAGATTTATATGAATAAAATGAGTTTGTATATATTTGTATGTTTGGTGGCACGTTGAAAGTCACATATACGTATACATTCGTGCAAGTTTAAAGGTGGGTATATGTGATGATAAATATGCGGAATTCAAATCTAGTATCGGTTTATCGTAATTTAAACGTTGAGTTTCTTTGATCTGATAATGTGTGTCTTTTGATAAAAAGATCATTTTTTTTTTTATAAAACTTGACTAAAAACGTTGTCGCAAGTGAGAGAAGGTGTGGATGTGAAAGAAGACTAAAAGTACACCTACACCTCACACTCTTTTCAGAAATCCTATATAAACGCAATTGAAATGACGCTGAATAAATAGTAGTACATATTCGAAGTTGGGTGTGCGCATGTGGGCGTGAGTTTGGGTATGGATGTACTATGTGATGAGCCATCCAGTTTATCGTTTCGATTGGAAACAATAAAAACAATTGCTCAAACTCCTATGAACTATTGAGATTTATGTCTTAATTCTATAAAAACATCTCTAAATATGTCAACCAGCAGCAACCTTGCCTTTTGCGAATCGAATTTGGCATAGATATGTAAAGCTAAATAGAAACCACTTTATATCCTATCATATATATATGAGTGAATCGTAAGTTTTTTGTACAATTGATAAAAAAAAATGAAAGTGCTCCCAGAGAAAATCCGATTGGTACATTTTGTTCCTTATCATTCAGTGAATCTGTAGTAAAAATTTCCGCGCTACCCGACTCGTCCTTGTCGAGATATTCGAACATCAAGTTCGGGTTTTCAACAAAAACCTTTTTAAAAGAAATTGCTCCTAATCACAAAAAAAAGACATAAATTCGTATTGGTTTTGAGCTTTAGAAAAATCTGCTATACCCTTTTCTAGTCTAGCTTGTTGCAAGTGATAGTTCTCACTCAGGTCTAGCTGAATTGTGGCGACGTCATCCTCCAC